GTGCCTACTTTGAAATGACTTAGCATACAACCAAGACTGATTTAAAATAACAATAAACTGGAGATTCTATGGTTTGAAGTGCTGCTTTCCCAAGGACCAAACCATCTTTAGTAGGAACTAGTTACCGCCCTCCTACCCGGCCAGTTCTTAGAAGACTTTTCCAGAGTCTTGTCGGAGTGAAAGCAAATTGCGAAACAATAATACGGGCGACTTCAATATCTGTTTTCAGCAACAGAATATACGGGCTGGCTATGCAAAAGGTATAAGCCATTCTAGGATTAAAATAGCTACACCCAACTAATTACTAAACCACCGGATCCCACAGTTCTCTTCACTCTAATGGACACATATTTGCAAAAAAACACGCGCTGAGAACTTTAGTCAGTCAGGCGTCATTACCACAGTATTAGTGATCATTTCATCATTTACTGCACAGGAAAAGCTCTAGGGATAGGATAGGCCTTACACTGGACAATAAAAAATGAGGTCAATAGAAACTCACAGTAAGAAACCACAGGTAAAATTGGCTTACACAATTGTAACTGGACAGAGAATAACAAGTTGCACGGACGTAACGATGCCTGGGAAAATATTTAAAAACAATGTTCAATTACCATTCTTAATAATTTTGCACCAGTTAATTAAGAGGAGGTTAGGATTAAACGAAGAACTGACCCTGGATGACTTATGAGGATATTGATAATATGAAATCAGAGACCAGCTGCTAAATAGATTTAAAGCAAAACTGACAGGATATTTGCAGCACTTAATGAATTCCAAAGGCGTGGAGGAACAGAGTACTGAGGCTTATAAATGGAGCAAAGGGCAAGCACTATTGCTCAAAATTGAAGAATATAAGCATACCCCAGAAAGGCTCTGGCTAACAATAAAACAGTTGGACTATCAGCCATAAGCCAGTAGATAGGTCTAACATAGTACTCACTATCGATAATGGAGGTATGCCCACGAAACATCTAAGCGGGGGCAAATTGGCTTTAATTCACTTAACTACACGTCTGTTTGAAGCAACACTAGTAAGATAAACTACAGCTGCATCAAATACCTTTAACACAGACTCTGATAAGTTTCAAACATACTATACAATAAAGGGAACCCAAACAGTTGTCAACTAGTAAGTGTATCTCATGACTCATCAAAAAGGAAAACTAAGCAGGGTTAAACCACAACTAAGAGCACAGGCAGATAACATCCATCTAAGTTCCTAATGATGGTGCTTTGAACTGTCAATCCCTATTGCTCCACATAATAAATCTATCATTCACCACTAATACCGTACCGGAGGGGTTCAAGGAGGCCAGGAGTTACTCCTTTATCTTCAAGAAAAATAATAGGTCTGATGTAAGCAACTATAGACCTGTTAGTATAACTCAGTATAATATCTAATTCTGGAGGAGGGCTGGTGTATTCTCAAGTAGTTAAGTACCTTAATGACAACCAGCTTCTCCATAGCTATTCAATCGGCTTAGGAAGATCCTACTCAACCGAATACCTCCCTTATTATCTGATGGATTACATGAGAAACTGAAATGTCAAAAGGGAGCCTCATAGGTATGGTAACCTGGGACCTGCATAGGCTTCGATACTGTCAACCACAAGATATTAGGTAATAAACTTCAATCTATCGGTATAGGTTCTGTAGACTTGTTTAAGTTCCTTCTTAAGCAACAGGAGACATAATAGTCAAATATCAACAACGGAATCAGAACCACTCGCGATATAATGGGACGTTCCCCAGGTTAGTATTCTGGGTCCTTACTATCTTATGTTATGTCAATGATATGCATATCAGTGTCAGTGCAAACTCTATGTATGCAAATGACAGTTGCTCTGTTGTGACAGGTAAAGGACCCAAAGATATTGCTAATGTTTTAACACTGGAACTGGAAGTCCTGCAGCAAATGGTTAGTGACAACAACTATCATTACACGTAGGTGAAAACTGAAGCCATCTCTTTGGAAACGAAACATAAAATGAGAAGGGTAAAATAATTTTTAAGGGTCCTGTGTAATGGGGAGTCAATCACTTGGTTTCATCAGTTTATAATATCTGGGAATCCCCTTTGACCATGCATGAGTCAGGAGAGAATTGATTGGGACAGTGTAGTAAAGAAGCGAATGCCAGGCTGAAGTTCCTGTATAAGACAAGCACAGTGTCTACCTACTGAGGCTCGCGGACCCTTGTCTAGCCCTTATTCAATGCCAATATGGATTACGCGTGCCTCTTCTGGGTACTCTGCCTTGACAAAAAAAACTGAAAGATAGACTGCAAATCACCCAGAACAAATCGTAAGATTCATCCTGGGGCTGGTGGACCAAGTGAACATTGTTAGGAAGGATGAATTACTGCAGTGGTATGTGATTGTTGAGACAAAGTAAAACACTGATGCTAAATCATGTTTATAAAATTGCTCACAAACAGTGTCCAGAATATTCGTGCTGTCAATTTTGTCAAGGTTGGGAACCAAGCAATCTTAGTCTAGGGTGAGGAGAGCACAAACTATGTAGTACCACAGTCAGTGGCCAGGCTTCAAACACCTTTTATTGTAAGCAATAAAGGAATGGAACAGACTTCCCACAAATGTCATGGCCCAGTCATAGCTTGAACCAGTTCAGAGATGCAAAAGTGTCTGATGAATGAAGCAAACAGAATGGGATGGGGATTTGATTTTCTATTTTTTAGGCCTAAAATCGTGTAAATTTTACCGTATCCCTAAGTGTAATGACCCTCGTATTGTAGATAGTCGTTATGCCCTCGGGGTTAGTAGATAGTCTTAATGGACCCTCGTATTGTAGTATAGTCTTATGACCCTCGTGTAGTAGATAGTTTTTTTTTTTTTTAGTATGAATAATAAGATGTTATCTTCATTATAGAATAATAAGAAAATATTATAACCTTTATATTATAATAATAAGGTAAAAGGACCCCAATGGAAATAAGTCACTCTGTCTGACTTTTTTGGGTTATCCTAGGTTCTCTACACATATGCTGCTATGTATGATAATTCTATGTAACTGTATTGTGTATACCTGAATAAATTTACTTACTTACTTACTTACTTACTTACTTACTTCCCTGGCAGTGTTACCACTTGATTTACCACAAGTATTAGTACTCTCCCCTGAGAGTGTTACCAGTGTTGCTGATCCTTGTGGAACGCCACTGGTGACAGGGCCTCACTAAGATTTCTCCCCATTTATGCTGATTCTTCCTATTGGTCAACCACGGTTTATTCCATGTTAAAACTTTTCCTCCTATACCATGAGCTGCCACTTTTCTTAATAAATTTTTGTGAGGTGCTCTATCGAAAGCTTTTGCTATTAAATAAAAAAAATCATATTCTTTATCCTCTTCCGCTGTTTCAAATATTAAAGGTCAGTGAATTTGACACAATGTGGCCCTTGAGTATACCTGGAGGGTGTTCCTGAGGTCAACGCCCTCTCAGCCCGGTCCTTGACCAGGCCTCGTGGTGGATCAGGGACTGATCAATCAGGCTGTTACTGCTGGCTGCACGTACACCAACATACGAACAACAGCCTGGCTGATCAAGTACTGACTTTAGGTGCCTGTCCAGCGCCTTCTCGAAAACAGCCTGGGGTCTATTGGTTATCCTCCTTTTGTATGCTGGGAGACAGTTGAGCAGTATTGGGCACTGACATCTTATGTGTTGTTTCTAGGGTGAACTGTGTGGACCACCCTTGGTTTCAATGGGGATTTGTTGCATTCTCCTGCCGAATCTTTTGCGTTTCGGAGGAGTGATTGTAGTTGTGCATTTTGTGGGACTAGTCCTCTAGGAATTTTCCTGGTGTATATTTTCATGTATCTTTCGGCCTGCGTGTCCAGGGAGTACAAAATTCAAGAAACTTCAACCTATTCCTAGTAATTTTAGATGCTTTATCGCCACTTAATCGTTCCCATGAAAGTTCTCTGTATATTCTCCAGGTCTGCAATTTCGCAGATTTTGAGAACATACAGAGAATATACCTGACTGTTTGTTTACAGCAATGTCCAGCCTTGGATAACAAGCGGATTTCAAGGAATTCTCATGGGCTGGCATCTCTAGTTTTGAAGGTTCTCATTTAGCCTTCAGTCATTTTCCTTGCAGGTATAGTTATTATACATTGGTTGTGTTATTGAAAGATGAGATTATAATTTAATTTTTAATTTTTTGTAACTTTCCCAGGTCTTTCATATGTAGTTTTTCGCTTTTTGTGTGGTTGGAATTTATTTTTATTTACTACAGTACAGTCTTAATTCCTAAAGGTTTCTATTGTGGAGTAATTTAAATTTCTTTTCATTGAACTTCATATTGTTTTCTGCGGCCCATTTAAAGATTTGGTTGATATCCACTTGGAGATCTGCAGTGTCTTCACTGGATGAGACCGTCATGCAAATTTGCGTGTCAACTGCAAAGTAGGACACAGCGCTATGACTGACATCTCTTTCTATGTCAGATACGAGAATGAGGAACAGGATGGGAGCAAATACTGTACCTTGTGGAACAGAACTTTTTACTGTAGCCGCCTCAGACTTTGCTCTGTTTACTATTACTCTTTGTGCTCTATTTGTTAGGAAGTTATAGATCCATCTACCAACCTTTCCTGTTGTTTTTTTATCACGCATTTCGTGCGCTATTACACCATGATCGCATATGTCGAAGGCTTCGAGAAGTCTTTGTATACTACATCTGCAATTTGTTTGTCCTCCACAGCATCCAAGACTTTGTCATAGTGGTCCAGTAGTTCCGATAGGTAAGGGCGATCTGTTGCATAAACCATGCTGCCCTGTTGTATAAACCATGCTGCCCTGTTGTATAAACCATGCAGGTGATGGGTATCTAGGTGGGATGACCCCTCGGTTCATGCTGTAGTGTCCATCCTCTAGTGAAATTGTATTGAGGTTTATTCATTAAATTATGCTCATTAAGGTGTTTTCGTATTATATCGGCAACAACTGACTATAACTAATTAATTATTTTGCAGATGATAACGGTGGACGCTGTGTTGTCATGGTAACCGAGAGAAGATGGTGGACAATGCTGGTGCTTCTCATTATTACAGGTTCGAGAGCGAGGAGAGACGAGAGAGAGAGAGAGAGAGAGAGAGAGAGAGAGAGAGAGAGAGCGAGAGAGAGGAGAGAGAGAGAGAGCAGAGAGAGAGAAAGAGAGAGAGAGATAGAGCGAGAGAGAGGAGAGAGAGGAGGAGAGAGAGAGAGAAGAGGAGAGAGAGAGAGAGGAGAGAGGAGAGAGAGAGGGAAAGAGAGGAAGGATGGAAGGAGAAAGAGAGAGAGAAGAGAGAGTGAGAGATAGAGGAGAGGAGAGAGAGAGAGTGAGATTGGAGAGAGAGAGAGAGAGAGGAGAGAGAGAGAGAAAGAAGAGAGGAGAGAGAGAGGGAGAGAGAGGAGAGGAGAGATAGAGAGAGAGAGAGATGAGAGAGAGAGGAGAGAGAGAGAGAAGAGAGAGATGAGAGGAGTAGAGAGAGAGGAGAGATGAGAGAGAAAAATTTGTAAGTAATTGCTGGCTACCCACCTCATGGTTGAGAAGAGACAGGCAATAAAGGGCTAGGAGGCGGTGTTTTGCTGTGTGCTTCTCTAAAAGTGTTCATGCCAGCACATTGGACGTTGCCATCCTATCATCTTGAAATGATGTTCTTCTAGCTCTGCACGTATACTCAGTAACTATGTACTAGCATGTGCAATGTACAGACTCTGTGGCAACATGCAGACCCCATCAACTCCTTCTGCTCCATCACAACTGTCAAACATATAATTGTTTTTTTTCTTGGTTACCCCAACAGCACCTTATTCAGAGTGATACTTTGATGACATTCATGGGTATTTTGACATGAGAAACTGTTGATTCCCTGCTTACATCTCTGGCTCTCCTTTGACCTAGTGAGTGTCTGCCCATTCGGCAGACGGTATAGTCACTTTCATCCCCCTCGGCTACGTTGTATCATGTGACAACAGGCTGTTTTTACGGACACTTAAGATCCAAACAGACCGACGGTGAGGGAGTCACACGCACTACCTGGCTGCAGGGAAAGAGGTTAATTGGCCAGCCCTGTGCTCTGAGCTCGCCACCACCGATTGGAATGTTCTTCTCAAGGGGGATGTTTGACAAACCAAGTGAAAGCCTTCAGGACACATCCTTAATCCACAACAAGAACACATTCCTCACCGGAAAAATACAGTATGTGACGAGCTTACAGATCAGCCTTGGTTTGGATTTCTTTGTAGAGAGGCTGTACTGCTAAGTACAAGGCATGGGGCGAAGGTATAAGAGACAACCTACCACTAATATCAGGGAACTCCCACAGGCAAGCCTGTAGGCATATCGGTGACGTTCGTAATTGGGGACATCGGCTCTCTAAATGGCGAGGTGGACACAAAAAGAAGCTTGCATCAGGGTAGAGTAGGCTCCAAAACTGGGGGTTCTCTGGTCAGGAAACAGAAACAGGTTATTGCCTGATGATCTCATTTACCTCCAACTGAAAGGATGGGACCACCTCTACTAGTAGTCAGAGAAAGCGACCTCTTTGCCGAACATTTTGCTACCAAAATGCAAGTTCCTGATCCGCAAGGGATCCTCCTTGGCTAGCTGCAAGGAACTGTGTCAAAACTGTCAGTGGTGACAATAAAGGCAGGGAGGCAGGTGCATTTCCTTCTAAATCGCTTGACCAAGAAAAAGCTGTGGGCCAGAAAGTTGAGCCCAAGATTGATGAGTGATGTGCCCCAACCCCCCCCCTCAACACCTTCGTCCCCCCCCAACCCCTCAACATCCAATTCAAAACCCCCCACCCGTCAACCCCCCTTAACACCCCCGTCCATCCCCCACATCCCTCAACACTCCGTCCAACCCCCACACCCCTCAACACCCCGTCCAACCCCCCCGCACCCCTAAACACCCCCGACCACCCCATCCCCTCAAACACCCCCGTCCAACCCCCACACCCCTCAAACACCCCGTCAACCCCCCACACCCCTCAACACCCCCGTCCAACCCCCCACACCCCTAAACACCCCCGTCCACCCCCCTCCCCTCAACACCCCGTCCAACCCCCACACCCTCAACATCCCGTCCAACCCCCCACACCCCTCAACACACCGTCCAACCCCCACACCCCTCAACACCCGTTCAAACCCCCACACCCTCAACACTCCCGTCACCCACCACAAGCCTCAACAACCCCGTCCACCCCCACACCCCTCAAAACGTCAGTCCACCCCCACACCCCTCAACACCCCCGTCGAACCCCAAACACCCTCAACACCCCATCCAACCCCCCACACCCCTCAACACCCCCGTCCTCTTCCCCCACACCCCTCAACACCTCCGTCCACCCCCCACTCCCCTCAACACCCCCGTCCAACACCCCACACCCTCAACACCCCCGTCAAACCCCCACACCCTCAACACCCCCGTCCACCCCCCACACCCCTCAACACCCCCGTCCACCCCCACACCCCTCAACACCCCCGTCCACCCCCACACCCCTAAACACCCCCGTCCAATCCCCACACCCCTCAACCCCCCATCCAACCCCCACACCCCTCAACACCCCCGTCCAACCCCAACACCCCGTCCAACCCCACACCCCTCAACACCCCTGTGCAACCCCCACACCCTCAACACTCCCGTCCAACCCCCACACCCTCAACACTCCCGTCCAACCCCCACACCCCTCAACAACCCCGCCCAATCCCCCACACTCACATACTGATAGCGAACTGTCTAGCTGGTAAATATCACCAGTGTTACCAGTTGGTTTACCATAAGGTTTAGTACTTTCACTGACAGTGTTACCAGTAGGTTTACCATAAGGTTTAGTACTTTCCCTGACAGTGTTACCAGTTGGTTTACCATAAGGTATAGTACTTTCCCTGACAGTGTTACCAGTTGGTTTACCACAAGGTTTCGTACTTTCCCTGACAGTGTTACCAGTTGGTTTACCACAAGGTTTCGTACTTTCCCTGACATGTTACCAGTTGGTTTACCATAAGGTATAGTACTTTCCCTGACAGTGTTACCAGTTGGTTTACCACAAGGTTTCGTACTTTCCCTGACAGTGTTACCAGTTGGTTTGCCACAAGGTTTAGTACTTTCCCTGACAGTGTTACCAGTAGGTTTACCATAAGGTTTAGTACTTTCCCTGACAGTGTTACCAGTAGGTTTACCATAAGGTTTAGTACTTTCCCTGACAGTGTTACCAGTTGGTTTACCACAAGGTTTCGTACTTTCCCTGACAGTGTTACCAGTTGGTTTGCCACAAGTTTAGTACTTTCCCTGACAGTGTTACCAGTTGGTTTACCATAAGGTTTCGTACTTTCCCTGACAGTGTTACCAGTTGGTTTGCCACAAGGTTTAGTACTTTCCCTGACAGTGTTACCAGTTGGTTTACCACAAGGTTTCGTACTTTCCCTGACAGTGTTACCAGTTGGTTTATCACAAGGATTAGTACTTTCCCTGACAGTGTTACCAGTAGGTTTACCATAAGGTTTAGTACTTTCCCTGACAGTGTTACCAGTTGGTTTGCCACAAGGTTTAGTACTTTCCCTGACAGTGTTACCAGTAGGTTTACCATAAGGTTTAGTACTTTCCCTGACAGTGTTACCAGTTGGTTTGCCACAAGGTATAGTACTTTCCCTGACAGTGTTACCAGTTGGTTTACCACAAGGTTTCGTACTTTCCCTGACAGTGTTACCAGTTGGTTTACCACAAGGTTTCGTACTTTCCCTGACAGTGTTACCAGTTGGTTTACCATAAGGTATAGTACTTTCCCTGACAGTGTTACCAGTTGGTTTACCACAAGGTTTCGTACTTTCCCTGACAGTGTTACCAGTTGGTTTGCCACAAGGTTTAGTACTTTCCCTGACAGTGTTACCAGTTGGTTTGCCACAAGGTTTAGTACTTTCCCTGACAGTGTTACCAGTTGGTTTACCATAAGGTTTCGTACTTTCCCTGACAGTGTTACCAGTTGGTTTGCCACAAGGTTTAGTACTTTCCCTGACAGTGTTACCAGTTGGTTTACCACAAGGTTTCGTACTTTCCCTGACAGTGTTACCAGTTGGTTTATCACAAGGATTAGTACTTTCCCTGACAGTGTTACCAGTAGGTTTACCATAAGGTTTAGTACTTTCCCTGACAGTGTTACCAGTTGGTTTGCCACAAGGTTTAGTACTTTCCCTGACAGTGTTACCAGTAGGTTTACCATAAGGTTTAGTACTTTCCCTGACAGTGTTACCAGTTGGTTTGCCACAAGGTTTAGTACTTTCCCTGACAGTGTTACCAGTTGGTTTACCATAAGGTTTAGTACTTTCTTTGACAGTGTTACCAGTTGGTTTACGACTAGTTTTAGTACTTTCCCTGACAGTGTGTTACCAGTTGGTTTATCACAAGGTTTAGTGCTTTCCCTGACAGTGTTACCAGTTGGTTTACGACTAGTTTTAGTACTTTCTCTGACAGTGTTACCAGTTGGTTTACCATAAGGTTTAGTACTTTCCCTGACAGTGTTTCCACTTGGTTTACCAAATGGTTTAGTACTTTCCCTGAGAGAGTTACCAGTTGGTTTACTATAAGGTTTAGTACTTTCCCTGACAGTGTTTCCACTTGGTTTACCAAATGGTTTAGTACTTTCCCTGAAAGTGTTACCAGTTGGTTTACTGCAAGGTTTAGTACTTTCCTTGATATTATTACCAGATGGTTTACCAAAAGGTTTAGTACTTTCCCTTACAGTGTTACCAGTTGGTTTACCACAAGGTTTAGTACTTTCACTGACAGTGTTACCATTTGGTTTCCTACAGAGTCTAGTACTTTCCTTGACAGTATTACCAGTTGGTTTACTACAAGGTTTAGTACTTTCCCTGACAATGTTACCAGTTGGTTTACCACAAGGATTAGTACTTTCCCTGGCAGTGTTAACAGTTGGTTTAGTATAAGGTTTAGTACTTTCCCTGACAGTGTTATCAGTTGGTTTACTTCAAGGTTTAGTACTTTCCCTCACAGTATTACCAGCTGGTTTACTACAAGGTTTAGTACTTTCCTGACAGTGTTGTAGTTGGT